GCTCGGTTAATAAGAACTAAATACAATTACAGTTCGCAGAGTGCTGCTCAATAGTTAAATTTTTATTGAACTGTCTATTTTCTACTTTCGTTTAGCGCAGGAAAGGAGTCATTATTTTTGTCTTGACGTTCGGTTCTATTCCATTGGCTGCCATATTGGATATTGACCTTATGACCCGTGCCATCAATATATTTGGCAATGTGTTCGAGGGACAGTTGTAAATCCTTATCGGCTGCACATGACATGCTGTTTATTGGTGCCGGCTTAGGTCCCAAAGGTTCTACACTAGATTTAAAGGTGGCAAACCATATATTTTCTACCATATCAGGTGATATTCCGGTCAGTAGTTCTCTTGTACGACTTCTTAGGAGTGATCAGTTGTGATCAAGCAATGGCAGTCGCCCGTCCTTTCCAACCCATTTCAGCAAGAAAATCTCAACGTCTTTCGCTGTAACTAGCGTCCTTTGAGTAATTTCAACCTCTGAACTTGTTCGTCTATTAAAATGAATTCGAGAGACAAATATCGTTGCGTAGCGAACCACCGAATTCACAGTAAGTACTTACTCCGAGTTTTGCGACGTCCCCCATTTTGAATTTTGAAAACCGCTGACCTGACTCATAACTTGACTCATGGCTCATTGACTCATGACTCATGACTCATTTGACTCATAAAACAGGAACCCTCCAATTTTACGGTCAAGTGAATATCTGATAAAAATCTGCAAACCCAGAGCTGCAAATTAAGCTATTGTTTAGGGGTATACCCAATATGTACACGAAATGTACAAGGTATTTTGGAACGTTATCATGTTTTTACTTTGCAGACTCCTCAATTCAATTTGTGACATCTTGTATCTCTCTTGTGATGATTTAGGACATACATGCCCCAAACAGTACCTTTCAACTGGTATATTACTTGTGGTCTTTCGATCTACTGTTATCATTTTAGAAAAATAAGGTTTTTCTCCGGGGCTGAAAGGGTTAAGAGCGTGATCAGGAAGCGTGAAGACTTGGCTGTGCATCCGAAAAAGATGTAAAATATTGTGACGTAGCTCTTATATAACTCCTAGCTTTATGTATTCCGGTGTAATATTTACCCAATTTACAGTATTTATGGCGTCATGCGCGCACTTCTCACAGATCACAGTAACCCTGAAGATTTACTGGAATGTCAGCGTCGTTAATAAAGAAGTACCAGCCAGTTACGTCACAAAAGTGCCGAACGGAACCGTGTTGGTGGACATCCTTAACAAAGCAGCAGGAGACAACAAACAAGGGCCTTTCAACAAATACGACAGCACGTACTATGGAGGTATTGGGTATTATATAACAGCCATGAATGGAACACAGCAAAACTCTACTACGGGTAATTACTGGTTCCTTTTTGACCAGCAAAGCGGAGGAGCTCTTCCATGTGGAGTGAGTTCGTATGTTCCTATAAATCAGTCTACCACCATTTTCAACTATACGACTTACTCAAGTCATGGCGAGAACGTGACTGGTTATTGCAAGCAATTCCCCTCTTCTGGAGAGGTTTGTAACTAGTCTTGCTTCCATAGTTTATTCTTGATCTTAACTGACTCTGAAAACAACATCTAAATATGTCATTAAAGATGTGTCTATTATTCATCGTGGTGCAAGATAAGATGAATTTTTCATCTATCCTTACATCTACATACAATGAGGAAAAATCGAAGAAGGCTGGCTTACTGGATATTCCTGTTTTCACAGATTAGCACTTAGTGGCTTACAGGCCTTACAAGTTTCAAATTGATTCAAGAATGAATTACAAAAGTCGACTTCAAATCTCCTAAAATAAAAGAATTATTTGTGCACAACTAAAAACAATTTAAGCCGGATAGAAAGGTGTAAGTACCTCTAGGGAAAAATAGCGTCAACTGTTTGTTCTAAAGGGCCAAAAAACCATGTCGATGTTATGCAAATAACTGCCAAAAGAAATTTCTACATTATATTTTTGAAGATTAGTTGTATAGGAAAAGATGAGAAGGAATTTTAGTCAAAAGTAACATGTATGCAGCATACGATCAGTATTCACACAGGTTAGAGCAAGATATAACTTCGGGAATAAAGGATCAGCGTCTCAAAACAAGAGGAAATTTGTCCATTTTTTAAATGATACCTTAGTTTTTCTTGTGTTCTTGCAACCTTTTTTTCTATTTCTTCATAGTATTTGAGCTGTTTAACAAGAGGTCACAGGCTTATGACTTGACCACCAGATCTAGATTTATTTTTGTTCTGTAGTTTAACCAGCACTGTGAGGATCAAGGTTATTATAGAATTCTGTGTTTCTGAGTCGACACCTACCGATCCAGGCTGCTTTATAGTTCATGTTAATTATTATCTCTCTATACAAAAATCTAGAATGTTCGCAGTCAACAAATAAGTGATCGTTAGATTACAATCTTGAAACGGAATAGGTCCTTATTTGAATAAAAGTAGTTGTTTAAAATTTTATACTAGAAAAAATCTTGTACAATAACAAAGACATGATCTTTCGTATAGGTACCGCCCTCTGCAATCACAGTTACGCTTGAAATAGACTGGAATGTTACCATCGTTGGTAAACCGATTCCTGCTCCATACACCACGCAGGTTGCAAAGGGCACCGTGCTGGTGGACATTATGAACAAGGCCGCCAACGAAAATACAAATGGTCCTTACAACAGGTGGACTTCAACCTATTACGGTGGGCTCGGACATTTCATTACTTCCATGAACGGTACTGAACAGGTATGTGTTCATCATCTGAATTCTCCTCAGTGTAATTCATACATTTTCTACGATGCTCCTCAGGAGAATTTGGTATTTTCACAGATGATCTCGTCCCTTAGAGATCAAGAGAAGTAGAAATGAAAGATGATTTAAATGAGCTCAGTCACAGTAGTTTGAGTTATTTTGGCCACGTACAAAATTACCTTTAAATTGAAGGAAACCTGAAAATGAAAAAAAAAAAACATCAAAGAGATAATAATAAACCATAAAGGAACAAGGATGGTTAAGGATGGAGAAGATTAACACAGATTACTTAAAAGACGAAAATGAAAAATTTAGGCTAAACTTTCCAAGATGCACAAACTGTAACGTAGCTCCGTTAAAAAGTATTACAGACCACAGTGGATTGGGTAGCGGTGGGGGATTTTTTTGATTTTGCAGTTTTAATCCTCTTTACAGCCAGCCACGACTTCCATACAGCAGCTCTTACTCAAAACCAACCCCTGCAGAGGTGCCTACAGCAGCGTCCTCTGTACAATGGATAGTTAATTTNAAATACAAATGGTCCTTACAACAGGTGGACTTCAACCTATTACGGTGGGCTCGGACATTTCATTACTTCCATGAACGGTACTGAACAGGTATGTGTTCATCATCTGAATTCTCCTCAGTGCAATTCATACATTTTCTACGATGCTCCTCAGGAGAATTTGGTATTTTCACAGATGATCTTGTCCCTTAGAGATCAAGAGAAGTAGAAATGAAAGATGATTTAAATGAGCTCAGTCACAGCAGTTTGAGTTATTTTGGCCACGTACAAAATTACCTTTAAATTGAAGGAAACCTAAAAATAAAAAAAAAACATCAAAGAGATAATAATAAACCATAGAGGAACAAGGATGGTTAAGGATGGAGAAGATTAACACGGATTACTTAAAGGACGAACTTCGTTGAAAAATTTAGACTAAACTTTTCAAGATGCACAAACTGCAACGTAGCTCCGTTAAAAAGTATTACAGACCACAGTGGATTGGGTAACGAAGGGGAATTTTTTTGATTTTACAGTTGCAATCCTCTTTATAGCCAGCCACGATTTCCATACAGCAGCTCTTACTCAAAACCAACCCCTACAGCAGCTTCCTCTGTACAATGGATAGTTAATTTGGCCTCAGACTGACTGTAATAAGGAGGTTATGATCACTGTTATGCCGCCTTCATGGATGTTGTCTTGTGTTTCAATATTTTTTTAACCATTTCTTTTGTCCAATCAGGATCCCAGTACAGACACATATTGGATGATTTACGATAAAGCGACTGGAAAACCCACTCCACTCGGAGTGGATTCGTACAAGCCACAGGATGATTCAACCACGATCTTTAGGCTTGTGACAGGGGCCAGTCACGAAGAAGGAACAAACAGTCCTACTCTACAGGAGCCCAGCTCTAGCCCGGGAAAACTTGTTGGAGTGGGCCTGGTTACCCTTTGCCTTCTGACGGTTATCGAAGCGTTGCTGTTATTGTAACTCCATCCGGGAACTCTAGCAGCATTATCAACCAAGCTACAAAGTTGTAATGTGTTTTATTAAGCACAGCGTTCACTGCACTGCATTTAGTATTAGATCTTATAGGCTAACTAAGTCATATTAAGAGTAGTAATATGGTTACTTTTAATCTGTGCAACTAGCCTTGGATTTTACTCTGAAAGCACGATTTCAAACAGTTGTGATAAGTACTTTCAATTGTAATCAAAGAGCACATTTAGCAAAGAGGAAGTCAATAACTACTTCCCTTATTAGGGCGGTTTTTTCCAAACTAAAACAATCCAATTGCAATGACCAATGAAAGCAAGGGTCAACAGTACAATGAAGCAATGAGAACTCGAAGCAGATACACGTAATTGGCGCGCGCGGGAAAACTGAACGCAGGTGTCCAAGTCGTGATTGGTCTTGTTTTGCATCTGATCGTAACCTCAAATTGTTAATTTACCTTTACGACTTCCTTGTTTGTTACCTCATGAGAGCTTGATGGTGCCTCAAAGTAGTGACCTTTTTTATTCTGTAGAGAGGCATGGTCCATGGCGACGTTTTATGCGCATAGTTTAAAAACAGCAAGAATTATCAGACTCACTAAATTGGCACTAAACACTCAGTTCTTTCAAGACGGATTAAAGCTCATAGCTTGTACCGATGAAGTATGTGTAATCATGAAGAGGCATAATTCGTCAGATGCCTGCTATTACACTCGTAGACAAATTCATTACCCGTCTCAACCAAGTTCGTCTCATAGTTGACTGGGCACTAGGTAGCTCGTCTTCAGGTATAACCTGTCTTGTGCCCGTCTTTCTACCGAGACACCTAATTCACGCATGCATGGGAGGCGCGGTGGCCTCATGGTTAGTGCGCTCGCCTCTGGATCGAGCGGTCTGGGTTCGAGCGCTGGTCGGGGACATTGTGTTGTGTTCTTGGGCACGACACTACTCTGACAGTGCCTCTCTCCACCCAGGTGTACAAAGGGTACTGGCGAATTCAACACTGGGGTAACCCTGCGATGGACTAGCGTCCCATCCAAGGAGGAATAGAAATACTCCTAGTCTCTTCATGCTACAGAAACCGGAGATAAGCACCGGCCTGATAGACCACTAAGCTCGTATGCAGACTTTACCTTTATCATAATCAGACGCACGACAAGCCACATGGATTATGTTTCTGTAGTCTAAAAACCCTAATTATTACTCAGTTGATGAATTCATTTCTTCTCGTCACTTGTCTGCTTTTAATTTTTTTTATATTGTAAGGAGAAATTAGATACTTATCACGCAAATAAAGCAGAGCCAACATATCCACCCACAGCTGTCTTATTTCATCAGAGGTCACCAATAAATGACTCTTTGAACAACTTCAAGGCTTCTCTTCCTAAGAATTCGTTCTTCCTCATAACAAATGGACAAAAGCATTTCCGAGATCTTTGCCAACATAATTTTGAAATTGCTAAAATTGTTTGCCATTCTGCACTGAAACGTTCTTCGCCTTTAATCCTTTGAGTTCCACAACCATATATCTATTTCACACATTAAAACCCACAGATAATGTGGTATTTACAATTTTGTATCTACCGATTCGCGGCGAACCGTGTTAAAGACCCTTACGTATTTTTTTTTAAAACAAAAATTCGTCACAATAAATTCTTAAAATAAATTCCCCGAGTGACCGACCAAAATGTGACATTGGCCATTTGCTTTCGTTAAAATTCTTGATACAGTTTCCTTTACTTAAATTAAATTTAAAAATCGAAGAAAGGATAAATACGCCATAGAGTAAATTTCTCGATTCATTTTGGAAGAAAAGCTAACCTGTGCTGACTCAGGAAATTAAATGGAGGCGAGGGTTATTAAGGTACCTTGAAAATGAAGTCGACGTGAAGAACTGGTCAATATTAGGGAGTTAAAGTAACTACAACGGCGACGCCGAGGACAACGTCAATTAAAAAATCAATTTAAATGTTACCTACGAATCTTGCGATACTCTAAAGTCATTTACCTTGTTTATCACTATCAAAACTATCACGAAACTGAATCTGGAACACAGCGATAAATTTGAAATAGAAATTTAAAACATTAGCCGTCGTGGTTCACGTTCTCCAGACAACGCAAAATTTGGTCATTTCACGTTGTTGTTTTGCAGAGGATGGCAAAGAAATGTACGCACGTAATGTACGAAATGTACGAAATGTACGCACGTGCACAGCCATTGTATTGCTCATTAAATATTTTGTTAAGCGACGTTCCCGTTATCGTTGCCGTCGTGGTTTTCTTAAACTCCCTAATTGATAAATTATGACTGTTCAAGTGATATTACAGAAAACTAATGCGACATCATGTCACGTTGCCGCTGTCCACCACATGAAGAATGTACATTTTGAGGCAGGAGGGAATGCTAAGAGAATTGATAAGATCTAGACTGCACGGAGAAAGTAACTTGCGAATAGACAGACGACAAAGTCGTTTCAGACTCTTAGGTTTGCCTACAAAACAAAGAAAAGAAAATTCACTCAGGCAAAAAAGTTAACAACAACAATAAGAGACTTTTTAGACTAAATGGAACAGCACAACGCAACCAAGAACAAAGCACTAAGGGTCACCCTTCAAAGCAAAAAAGTAGTTATCCAATCATAAGCCGATGTGGTGAAAGCGGGAAAACATGCTGTCATTCAATCAGAAGACGATGTGGTAAGAACGGGGAAACATGTAACCGCGGCAAGCGCGGGAAAAAGATTGATTTGTGATTGGCCACAGCCTTCAACTGATAGGCCCGATCTTTCCTGTGATTGGTTGAAGCACGCTGTACGATTGTGCGAAGCACTCAGCAAACTGACGCGTAACTGAGCTTGTTGAAGATGCTAGAGTTAACCGACAAGAGTTTTGCGGCTAATTTAACAATGGGTTATACTACTACATATCACCGACAATATTAATTCTGTAGTAAATATTGAAAGCCCTAGCTTCTTACCATGGCTTTCCCAAAATAAATGTAGCAGTTGCTGATATGATCCCAACAGCTCCATATTTGGCCCATTTCCATATCGAGTCACCAATGATTGAAGTATGGTCTCCGCTGAGTTACCGCTGTCATCCACAATATCATACCGTGCGCCATACTCTACCAGAAGCTGCGTCAAAGGCCCTGACTCCTCCCCTCTAAGAACTTCAAAGCAAATGAAAAGCATTATGAAAGAACGTATAATGCCTTGACTTATATTTTATACCAGTTCATACTGGGGTTTTGGGTGAACTTAGTATCTGAAAAACCTCTTAAAGATCCTGGAAGTGTTTATAGGAAATGAACTGATTTAAAAAAATGATAATAAAAGACTCCGGTGAGGTTTCTGTGATCTTTTCTAAACCTACTCATTATTTACAGTGTATGTTCTGTAAGGGCGTTACATGTTCTGTAAGGGCGTTACTAAGTTCAAGATAGAAAAGTTGAACAGTAAGGGCTTGTATTGAGGAGGAGGTAACTAGCAGACTGATAAAGGGAGAGGGGGTACTAGTAACCAGAACAATAACGATAGAGCCCGTGGGGGAATCCCAAAGGACGTGGGTGCTCGAGAAGAACCCCTAAGAGGTACAAAGATCCTGTTT